TGTGTGCGGTGTGTGTGTGTGTGTTATTCCGCCTTTCAGTTGGAAATATAACTTTTTCATATCAAGTAGCTGCTCGATGCGTGATTCGCGATTGTTTGCCGGTTTAAGTACAATGGTTCGTTATGCACAACCCGTTACCAAGCCACTTCATGCAGACGCTTTGTGGATCAAGGCTAACGCGGACTTTCGTTTCACACTCTTTTTTCGTTTGTGCTTGCGTGCGTGTAAATGCAATCATTCCATGCAAATCGTGTGAAACATAAATGTGCCTTTTTACACACAGTATTAGAATATATATTGTCAATACCTTCTGGGTGATTTGTCTGTCTTAGACACTCTCGATAGAGATGACAAACCGAATATCAAGGTGGGATGCGGATTTCTGGAAACCCCAATCAGTGTTTGGGTCACCATTGTTTGTTTTCACTTTCTTTTCCAAAACTAACTTAAGTCCCGATAATTAATAGACGGGTTGTTTGTGGTTCCCATTTTAGGTATGCTAGCTTACTTGGTTAGTTCTTCACAATTTGCGAGCAGTTATTTTGTGTGTGTATTCAGAAGATCAAACTTCAAAGTTTTGCAATCAGGCTTTGTCCGTCTCTAGTCAAAGATTATTTTATGAACAGATTTGTGTTCACCACATGTCTTGGTCAAACAAGTTATTTCTTGGTTTTCCTGTTTTCTCCCTTTCTTATTCCTTCTTTGCTCGCGGATTCACAGTCGTTCATGCTGTATTGTTGCATGCCTTTTATTGATTGCAAACCTCGTTTGCTTTAACTCAACTGCATTCCGGCTTGAATCGATAATCACGCCATTCCAGTTAGTTGCCGATAGATATTGCTCTTTTTTTAAAACGTCTGTTAGAGGACCATCACCCCTTACGCACAGAACGAGGGTGACCTCGAACAATGCATATTCATTTCACGAACGACTCTCTGTTGTTCCCTCTCCCACTAAATGATTTGATCTAGATGATGTCGGTTAGATAGCTCAATGTGAATCCTAAAATAGCTCATACGCCTTGCTTTTAATATTCTCGCTTCTGTTTCCGCGGATTACTTTATGCTCTCGTACATTACTTTAAATAGCTGCAGACAATCGTAATGTTTGTAGTGCTTCAAAATTCCGACCGGGATGAGGAAAGCTGTTTTCGACATCTGTTGACAACACGTTTTCTAGTTGAGATGTCTTGATGTCAACTTCAGTTACTCTCACTGCACCAAAAGTACTCCGCTGAGTTCAATGATGAATCTTTGAAGGAAAGGACATTCAATCAGCGATTGGGTTGTCTGTCAACCGCCATGCGATATGCGGTACTCTTAAGTCCATGATCAATAGCTTTTGCGACGCGCCAATTCACCTCGCGTGTCAGAGTGGGTGAATAAACTTTGCATTCCGGCTGTTGGGCAAGTTTACTGCTTCAGAGATTTGTCGTTAAGCTCTGCAATATACCATCCACATTGTAATCGAACACCTGAAATCGCTATTGTGACATCTTTGATTAATGTCGTGACATCTTAAATATAGAAAAGTACAAAATCCTGGCAGTATACCTAAATCCCCCGTTGGCATTTTCTGAGCGGTTCTTGATCTCAAAATTGTAACTGACAGTGAGATCCATGGAATCTTCATTTCATTATCAATCTGCGTCAATAAAAGATTTCGCATTTGACGCAGCACGCAGCTCGCCCGAACAACTTAAGCAGCCTAGGTTGGGTTATGGGGTGTTTTCATTCAATAACTGACTTTGATTTACCTCTCCCCCATCGTCCATCGATGTCTGTCCACGACACTCATAAAATCGCGGCTAATGATCAAACCGATTGGAAATGTTGTTTTCGTTTTTAATAAGTGCGCATGTTTGGTCAATGACTTGGTCTTCCTATTTGGGTTTCGATATTTGCTCATTAAGTATTGTATTGTATTGTAATAACTTGTGCAGACGTGAAGCCTACATTTCAGTTAAATACCTAACCTGGTACATTGAGTTTTCCCGGGGAAGTAATCGGCAAGCCAAGCTAATAACTGTCTGGGACAACCAAAGAAGAAGAAGGTAACGAAGAATAGAATCAAAATCAGAGGAATGGTCTAGAAACACAACGGACAGATATAGCAGAGTCATTCAAGGATTTAGTAATTTTATGCAAAAGAGAGGAAATTGCATCTAGCGTACATCCGTTTGGTTTATAGGCAAACTGAAGAGGATCATATGGAACATCAATTGAAAACTGAATGCGTTTAAGAACAACACGGTCTGCTAACTTAAGTCCAACAGAGGTTAAAGCGATAGGACGAAAGCGTTTGGTTAGAACGTTTGAAGTAGAGGATAAGTCTCATCCCAAAAAATATGTTGACTGTGTTCTCCCGTACCGAAGTGATGCAGACAAGCAATCAGTTGAATCACACGTACCCGCTGAAACGCACGTGTTTGTTCGCGTGGCAAAGTCCACGTTCGGGATATCGACCTAACCAACGGGTAGGTGATTGGTGGTCTGAAACACGCGGACACGAACAAACGCACTCCCGGTCTTAGGGCACTTTTTAGTGTGAAGGCAAGATCACGTGATTCAATTCGTTTCATCCAATCATGTCCTTATACTGCTGATTTATTAGTGTGCGGCTGCGGCACGTGTACAACCATGCTAGACATAAGCAATGGGTGACACGTAGACAATAGGCAATCCTCATGGTACCATATTGCCTCGATCCGCAGTCAAATCTTTCACTCAGTTCATTAAAGTACAATATTATCGCCGATCGGGATGAAAAAAATGGTTAGCACATTTGAATACAATACAGGATGCTCTATGGATCGGAATTTTATCCTCTTCAACACTTGTCGGTTATTGTCTCGTCCTAAAAACTAATTGAAATGAACGATTCGTGTACAAAAGCCGACAGTTATATGCAAAACTGACACAATCGCCCAATTGTGCTACGATCACGAATCTTCCTGTTTCCCTCCTATTGTTCACCCAAATGAGCAACCAAAAGCGTCGCACGGAAATGCATGCTTAATGGTTGTTTAAACTAAAAACTGAATAGTGAAACAATAATCGGGTCACGGCATTTTACCCGCCAACTCAAGGTTACATTCCCGTCAGACCTAAAGGTTTTGGTTAATTACTTTAGTCGTTCTTCTCCCTAGTGGATGAATTCCCCGGGTAAATCCGTCCATAAGGCTACAATGAACGTACAAAATTAAAACCGGTTGGATTTATATTGTTGTTTTACAAATTATTTATTTCGTTCAAATTTAAAATGTTTATCCATATAGGTCTATCGTATCTCACGATTCTCCCGTTCGTCGCCATAATTACATGGACTAGTTTGTCCGTGTATCTAGCCAATTTCCTTTTATTGTCTTTTTGCTCTCGCCTTATCCACCTGCGCTCCCCTCCCCCCCCCCCCNCCCCCCCCCTCGTTTTCTGTTCAGTCTTTCAATTGGAGACAGTTCTCACAACTTCACTTTACAATCAAGCAGCAAGCCGCTGACGTACGCACTCGCTCTGACTGAACTTGGACCAGAAGTGGTACATCAGTATGTTGGCTACGAACCGTCCGGAGTAGCTTTCAATCAAATCACCTTAAACCCGCAAAGTATGTGTTACCCTGCCGTTCAGCTACCTGAGATACGGTAGCTCATCGTTGTCACCCGAAAAATGTAGCAATTTATTTGATTAAAAATAGCCACTTACTCGTCAATTTTCTTTATTGGCTGTGTTCCTCCTCTAAGCATTCATCCTCCTAGAGTATGACCCAAGGGCGAGTGGACCACCTTAGATATTATGATTGAATTTGTATCAGGAAAAAGTTGCTTACCAAAATATCGTTGTGACGTCTCCATGTTTCTATCAGTGATATCAGTTTTACAGAAGTTGTTCGTTAGATGATCCTGAAAAATGTGATACCATCTGTGTTTGACATGTTTCAGAAAGACAAACAATTCAATCACTTCTGTCTCCAGTATTCCAACCCGAAACCATTAGCTTTTTTAGTATTGTCTGATTGAAGCGACGTCAAACAATCGATACCTGTATTGAACTATCCCCTCCCCACCGAATGAACTTGAAAGTATTTCCTATCTGGAACCCATGAGTATGTTGATTTCCTTCTTATTAAATCTGTAAGTATTATTTTGTTGCTCATTTGTGATCATAATCTCGAATACAAATGCCTAAACGATACAATACAGACCACCGTTCGACACTTCATTCTGTGGTCAATTCATTCCGTTTGTCCGTATTTTTATCAGTATGCTTACTACTGATGAATTTGCGGGTTTTGGTCTCCGAACATTACCGATTGAAAATCTGCTGCATCCNGCTGCATCCTTCATTCTGATTCTGATTACCTACCGATTCGCATCCTCCTGATAGGGACCCCCTCCGGGGTGGTCGAAATTTTGAGCAATACAAAACTTCTTTTCAACAACGTTGTGTTATTCACAAGCTTTTCTGGTGAGAATATTAGTGTAAACCCTTTATGTCTCTGGTTGCTTATTATAACTCCGTAGTCGACAGAGTGAGGTGTCCAATGACCCGTCGAATACAAGACTTAGGTGGCATATCATGTAACAGGTTAGACTGTCTAACACTTGAGTCGGTATTTTGTCATAATCCATCCATTGTGTTTGATCAATAGCCACTCATTTTTTAATTTTGAGATCTTTTTCGTATATTTCTCTTGGTGTGAAATTTCTCACAATTCAAGTTCTATAGGCCAGGTGAAATTTGCCGAAAACAATTTAGAGCATGCAGTCATTGCACGAGCAAATTCCACGGTGCTATATTGCTTAGTACCTTTATCCGCAAACCGATAATGTATGTACCCGTTTACCGAAAAGCGTGAGTTTGAATCATACTGAACAGTCTTGTTTCCTTCATGTTTCATTCGGATATGAGAATACTATTCCTATTACACAATAACTGTCCACCGCTAGAGAGTAGACAGGTAAGCTCTACTGTATTTTGAATCAATTTTCTAGTGGATCTAGAAGCATCAATTTGTTTAACTGAAAAGTGTTTCGTGCGAGCCGATCACCCCTTTCCAGCCCACTTACTATACTCTATTATTGAATACTTGTTTAATATTGCTTGCAGAAATAAAAAATCTTTTATCGTCCATCATTCCTTCACATTGCTCTTTCAGAATCAGGCAGGGTGTTTGTAGATGGGTTAGATGCTACCAGCCGCAATAAATGTGACTTAGACAATTTATATCCCGTTACTCTCTTTTGACCCACCTAATTTACCAATTTTCTACCGAGTTACCATTCTACGTCAATTATAATTCATTCCTGGTTGTATTTATTTGTTATTAATTAACAATATTCAACTTTTCTCCACGGTTAATTCTGTACCACAACCTAACTTTTTCTGTTTGCATAGTAGACGGTAACTGGGCGTACGTAATATGTGCCCCAGCCAGCGAAGCCTACTAATCTGGAGTCGATGTGCTAGCAGGTTGATGCCTGACCACATCGCGTCTTACTCACTGTAGCCGCTCCGGGCTGGAGGAAACCACGTGGAGGCCAACAGATGACGTGAAGACGAGACATGAAGAAATAAATGCACAGAGCCATTAGGTAGGGTAGGTGTCACGCGCCTTCTAGGTTGGGGTCCGAAAGACTCCACAATTGGTTGGTTTGAGGGATTGAAGGATATGACAGCGAACCGACAGCAGGGGCGTTCTTGTTGTCATCTCTCATCAGGCCAGAGTACTTGAAATGGCATTTATGCAGGGTTCGATTGTGCACTCTCTGTGTGTTGATCATAGAGGTTCATCTTCTTCCCCCTCCCTTAAATAGGTCCAATCCCTCTCCACCTCAAATTTTACGACTAACCTTGTATTCATTGCGAGTTTGGCATCGATCAGTGAAGTTCGCCTCGCTGTATTTCGCTCTACGGTGATGGATGACTATGTTAGCATCCTTTTTTCTGAACCTTTGTGACCATTATCCCCCCTTCCTCATTTACTCATCTCCAAATGATTTTGGAATTGACTCAGTAACCTTTCTCTCTCCGCTTGCACCCATATAATTATGAAAATTTTCATAAATGGTTTTCTTCTACCGTTCTGACCTATTTAATGTGCGTGGAAAACTGATTGAAAGCCCGCGAAACTGATGACCAATATCACTTCTGCTCATAGTGTGTTACTTGTTTTATTCAAATATTTCCATATGTTAAGAGATCGCCCAACATTCCGGATTTCACAATATCAAACCTAACACCTGAAGTCCTCAGCCTCGATTTCGATTGCAACGACCACGATAGTGCATTCGTGCCTGAACTCTTGTTGCATTTTTCATTTCCACCATTGAGGCGTCAGATGAATCATAAATGTTGAATGACGTTGTTATCTACTCACGAGTAGTCACTTACTTAAGCCTTCAAATGCCTGAAGCGGGAAGTTTCGGAGGTCCATCATTGCTGTTTTCAGCGTTGTTTACTCTGCGTAAACATCACTTATTGACAAGGGATGCTGCTCATTTGAAAAATCCAAGGAATCCAATGCACTATGGTCTTTTTATTTCTATGTATTCAATGACCATCCTTTGAATTGGTATTGTTTTGACTGTGATCTCACCTTCACTCATTCTACTCTCCCTCTCAAATTTCTTTTATAAATCCCAATGCGTCTAACAAAGAGCGTCCTCACAATCCACTGATCAATGCTGGTGCACTAGCCATCTGTAGTATTCTCCAACCACACCTTAGTCCCCCCGAGCGGTTCCGTTATGTGGAGAACAAATTCAGTCAATTGGCTGGAGGTCAAACACTTGGATTCAACAATGCTGTGTAAGTAATCCGTGCATGCTTTTAACTGCTGTATCATGCAGTCATTTGTATTACCTGACTCTCAAAGTGTACATATTCTGAGAGAAACGCATCAGTTGTTTACATCTGTTATTCGTTAATCAAAATTCATGCGCAAACGCTTCTTATTTGCTGCTGTCTAATACAGTTATATATATGAAGTGAACAAATGTGCAACAAATAATGCCAGAATGAATATGTGTTGATTGGACGGTATGGAAGTGGTGAGGAGTGGTTGGAAAGACGTAAAAACAAAAAGTTTTCGGTCACTTCTTCATCTGACTAATACAGTTCTGTACAGGAAGTGAACAAATGTGCAACAAATAATGCCAGAATGAATATGTGTTGATTGGACGGTATGGAAGTGGTGAGGAGTGGTTGGAAAGACGTAAAAACAAAAACTTAATCCGTGGCTTAGCACAGGAAATCGGGAAACAAAGAAGGGAGAGTAGGAGAATAGGGACGAAACAAGAAGGGCAAGGTCACATACTTAGGTCAAAGGGTCACGGGTGAATTGACGTTCTGTGTGGGGTCTGGACCAGGGTAGCTGTAGGGCATTAACAAACTGTCTTTGTGAACACAGAGTTAGTCGCAATAACTTTATTGCTACCGCCTCTGCTGCCGCAAGATGGCGCTGTCGGAGGGTTTTGAAGGGGTTTGGGATTACCTTGTAGGTGATTTTGAACGCATCTTCGGTTATCCGATGTCCGGTATCTATGAGGTGTGCCGTTATTGCATTCAAAA